TCGACGTAAATACGGGAGACGTAAATCTACTTCGGGTTTAAAAGCTGACGTAATATTACGTCGGTTGTTTTCGAGTCCCAACATAAAAAAGTTGAAAAACCGAGACCAGAACGGCCCGTTCTGCTTGCACTTGTTGTGTGTTAATTGTGCATCCGGAACGGGTCGTTCTAGTTTGAGAACGGGACGTTCCAGATACAAAATTAACACATGACATATGCAAGCAAAACGGGCCGTTCCAGATGCAAAATTAACACATGACATACGTATGTTTTCATTTAAAAAATATACTTACGGAATAACCATAAATCCTCCAAAACAACACACACAAACAATTCCATGATGGTATAAACTTCAAGTTTATCAAGGAATTTTGGGATATTATGAAAAGGGACTTGGTGCTTTTTGTCCAACAATTCCATGATAATAGCAAATTACCTCGTGGGACAAACTCCTCGTTTATTTCTCTGATTCCCAAGGTTGATAAACTTCTTTGATAGGTTGTATGTATAAGATACTCGCAAAGATTCTAGCACTTAGACTCAAAGTAGTGCTTCCTTATTTAGTCGATCATAGGCAGATGGGCTTTGTGGAAGGAAGGGGATTATTACAAGGAGCTATGGTTCTTAATGAGACGCTTGATGAGGTTAGGCGGAGAAAGAAGTCATGCATGTACTTCAAGGTTGATTTTGAGAAGGCGTATGATTCAGTTTCATGGAGCTTTGTGTTATATATGTTAAGGCGCTTTAGGTTTCAAGATAAGTGGATAGGTTGGATTGGTGAGTGCTTAAGAACCTCTTCTATGTCAGTTCTGGTTAATGGAAGCCCTACAACTGAATTTTCCATGCAAAAAGGGATTAGGCAAGGGGACCCATTAGCCCCTTTCCTGTTTGTTTGGTTGCAGAGGGACTTACTGGCCTGGTTAGAGAAGCTTCAAATTCAGATTTTTTCAGAGGTATTAAAGTGGGATCGAAAGGCGAATTAGTTAACATCCTCCAATATGCAGATGATACAATCTTTGTGGGAGAAGCTTCAGTGGAAAATGTGAGGACCTTGAAGGTAATCTTGCGGGGTTTCGAGTTGGCAAGTGGTCTTAAAGTTAACTTTTACAAGAGTTGTTTAGGAGCTATTGGTGTGGGAAGAGAGACCTTAATTTCCTTTGCAGAGATATTACATTGCAAGTTGTCCAACATTCCATTTGTATATTTGGGCATACCTATTGGGGCCAACCCTAGAAGAAGTAAAACTTGGCAGCCTGTGGTCTTGAGCTTTAAAAAAAAGTTGTCATCGTGGAGAGCATCGACATTGTCCATGGCGGGAAGGATTTGCTTGATAAATTCGGTGTTGACTTCCTTGCCATTATACATTATGTCATTCTATAGAATGCCCAAGATGGTGACCAAGCAACTAACATCTATTCAGCGCAACTTCCTATGGGGTGGTAAGCTGGATGAGAAGAGAATGGCATGGGTATCTTGGGAGAAAATTTGTCGGCCTAAGAAGGAAGGGGGTCTAGGAATTAAGAAGTTGGATGCTTTTAACGAGGCACTATTAGCTAAGTGGCGTTGGGGACTCTTTCAACAACCAGAGTCAATGTGGGGAAGAATTCTATTATCTAAGTACGGTGATACCATCATGCACAATACTCGACTAAGAGGAAGCTCAGATTCTATGTGGTGGGGTGATGTATTGAAGGCTTCGGGTGAGGACACCAATGCAAAAGTCAAACGTGGTGGCGGATATGGGTCAGTGGAGTAAAGGAACGTGGCAATGGAGATTTCAGTGGAGAAGAGCTTGGTTCACTTGGGAATTAAACGATGTGCAGCAATTCATGAATATAGTGGAGGCAGGGGTACTAAGAGAGGGTGTACAAGACTCAAGGCTTTGGACACTAGATAGCTCGGGATGCTTCTCAGTAAGATCTGGGTATCGGGCTTTGATGGACCGTGGCTCCTCATCACAGTTGCCAAATGTTGCTGCGGTAGCTTGGGATATAAAAGTTCCACGCAAAGTTAAATGCTTCATTTGGAGGTTGTTCATGGGTGCTTTGCCTACAAAGGAAAACTTGTTGAGGAGAAATGTGATTGTCTCGAGGGATCAAGCAACCTGCCCCTTCTGCAATGTGGATATCGAGTCGGCAGAACACATATTGTTATATTGCAGTGGCACTGACCCGCTATGGAAAAAATGGTTATTGTGGTTGGATAGCCCGACTCCTTTATCTAGTTCATTTGAAGCCAACTTCTTTGCTCATCCAAGTATAATATTGTCTAAAAAGAGGGTTGACCAATGGCATGTTATATGGACTGTAATATTATGGTGCATTTGGAGAGCTAGGAACAAATGTGAGTTTGAAGGGGAGCACCTCGACGGGAATCGTTTACTGCGGCAAACTGTGTTATACTCATGGTCTTGGCTGTCCAGTTTTAATAAGTCGTTCAACTATTCATTCAGTCAATGGGAAGCTAATCCTGGACTTTGTATCATTTCCAAAGATCTTTGGTGGGGTTTTGAGGAGTCTTTAGAGTAATCTAGTATGCAAATAGTAGATTTTGGACCTCATAGTTGGAGGCTAATTTGTAATTTAAATTAGGCCCAACTTTGTTGTGTCCTCCGCAAGCAAACATGTATTCGACATTGGTATCTCTTGTACCATTTTATTATATAAAATATTTCTTTGCTGTTCAAAAAAAAAAAAACACACACAAACAATGTTTAAGTTCAAAAATATCCTCCAATCCAATCTATTTGCACTAACCTTGAATCCCAACACTTTCGAGTACCCTTAAACGCTAACTTAAACAAGACGCGCACCAAAACTTCAATACAATCGGATAAAATGATCTGCAATGATGAATGGACGTTGCCACCACCGTCGCCGCCGTTCAACGTCACCGAAAACACCCAAGATGCGTAGAAACTCGTCGTCGAAAGTCACCTGAACGTTCTGCAAATAAAACCCTAGAGCGCGCGCGAAAAAATGAATGAGGGGAAGGGGATATAACAAGTTTTTTACGTTGGACTTAGTGGTGTCCGACAAAAAAACTTGGTTTAAATTTCAAAAATACTACCGCATTTTTTTATGTCAAATTTTTCGTTTTCCGACAACAAAGCAGTGACGTAAATAACAGATTTTGTACTAGTGCTATTCTTTGTATTTTTCAAAGCAGCTAAAACTTCTTTTTTAAGTTGATAATTAAAAACTAAAACTACTATAATAGAGTTTAAATTGCATATATACCTATAGTACTTATGTTGTACAATACACTGTGGACCACATTTTCTTTGGCGTGGAAGTTATGTTACTGTCGTCAAATTTATTAAACTATCTATTTAGGACATGGATAAGTTCTCTATAAGTTGGCAACCCTATGAAACCAATCAATTACCTAATATTAATAAGTTACCTAAACTCTTTCTCGTTGTAAGCAAAGTGGCCCGCATTACGTTCCAATAAATTTAGAAGCAAAATTGTCAAAATTGAAATATAAACTGCTTACGAGGATTATGTGTTAAATAATTATTAACTTTTAATTGGTTTCGCATCATGTAATAAGAAGGTTTTATTCTAGAACCACAACCATTTTTTAATGAGAAAATTCTATTAGTTAATTATGAACATTATTATAGACATTAGCATGATAAAATTCTTTAAGAAGTTACTTTTATATATATATATATATATATATATATATATAT